CACTGGCGTACTGTCAACACACCCTCTCCATACACATCAGTTAATTTCTTTCTGGCTTGAATAGCATTTTTACCCTTTCTGTAGTAAAACAGTAAGATATGTCGAAAATGCTGCTTATCGCTCTCCATATTTAAAAGGGCATCAACCAAAAACTACTGCGTAGAATTAATTGGAATTTTTCTAACAAGCCTTGCTATATGAGCTCTCAAAGCATATAAAAATTATACGGCTTAAATGTGAAGTTGGGTGCAAAAGAATACAATTAAATCCTCTGTCGGGTAAAAACGAAATGACTTTCCGAACAACCCGATAATAAAACGGGGGCAACTCTTAATTTCGGGTTATAACTGGAAATTTCAACTTGAACTTGAAATCTTCATTGGATCGTGACCTAACCGAACCTAACCAAAGCCCAACCGAAACTAAGGTAATTTTAAGAACGGATATATTTACGACAGCACACCCATTGTTTGTGTTGCCTTTACCTACAGTAACCTTATGATCCTAATCGATCGAATAAAAGCATTACGTTCGACTATGTTAGATAAAGACAGCACGACTGAGTGAGTAGCCATGTACTTTCTCTTGTTTACAGGGTTGAAACAAACCTAATCGAACCTAATCCAAACCTAACCTAAAGCAATTGAATTCCAGACAATAGTCGGCACAACACTGATTGGTAACTCAACTTACTATCAAACCACCACTTCTTAATCTGCCAGGGTCTTCAAAATTAATTCCAAAAATTGCAAAAAACTTCCCTGTTGTCTTTTTTTTTAATTAAATATGCACTTTCAGAATAGATGCATCTACCTACTTCCAGTGTAAAAAGAAATGCAATATATAAAGCGAGATCACCCTTGAGTTACAGAACTCAAAAAATTCTTTCGACATAACTGACACAAGTCACTCTGTACAATCACAGCGTATTCTGAACACATTCAGAAAGTTTAATTTTATCGACGACCTCGTCGAAATGTTGAGTAAAAGAAACAGCTTATGAAAATATTTTTTTTAGTTCGACAAATTGAAAAATTCCATTTATTTGACGAAATGAAGCTACATGGGTACACAAATATGCAAGTAGAAGGAGTAATATTATTAACACCCAGACTAATTTTCTGTTTTAAAAATAGAATAGAACAGTCAAAGACTTTTAAACAGTTTATTAAAAGTAGCCGTACGTAAGTGAAGAAACAATTTAAATTTAATGGGATGGTTCAAGGTAATTAGTACAAACTCAAACTGCATATTAAAGAACATCAACACTTGAAATAACCTTCACATATAGCTATGATAAAACTATGACACCTCCTGTAAATTCTTTTAAATAATGAAATAGTAATTTACACTCTAAACTTCCCTAACTAGAATTAGTTATGCTTGAGTTATGAGAAAATACAGAGTTACAGAGAAATTTTCTGCTTTATCATTACTTTACTTTTTAATTTTCCTTTCGAAGATACTGCTTCAACGTTCTACGTTGTTAAGTCCACCTCTAAAAACCGTCACTGTACTTCGTTCGTGTTGTCTTTTCCTACCATAACCATAAAAAAATATATATCTCGACAAGCTTTTATCCGCGGCTTTGTTCGCGTTAAAGTCCTAAATATGTGTCAAAGATCATCGAAATTACAATAATTTGATAAAGGATCAACAGGATAAAACTAAAGTTTCTGATTTTCTAGGTTGAACATTAACACTTTACATAGAATGACAGTAAATACGGTTCTTCTATTTCGAGATGAAAAGAAATTAACATTCGCATTTGCAATTTTAGTTAGGATTGCAAAGTTTGCGTAAAGTAAGTTTCAATTTAATCAACATGGTAGTAAAGCTTAAAATTTGTGTTTTATAAAAATAGTTTTCAACAAATACTTATATATCTAGGCTCTTTTCAAACGTTTGCAATTGTCAAACAATTATATTAATAATATTAATTTGCCTATTAATAATTCTATATTACGTATAAGATTACACGAAGAAGCATTGAATTATATAAAAAAATGTACTTTTGGTCACTTGCGGTATCTTTGTAATCAATTTAATTTTTTTTACGATTAGTGGGGAAAATTAATTTTTAAGATTATTTAAGATTGGTAGACTATGAAAAAATATTTCCTTCACGAGGTACTATCTGTAGGTATTGTACATCTTAACTAATATTATAAATGCGAATGTTGTGTTTGTTTGTTTCTTTTTCACGCCTTAACTACTCAACCTATCATTATGAAATTTTGTACACATATTATCAGGAGTACAGCAAAGAACATAGGGTACCTTTTATTCAGAAAAAATCCCGAGGGATAGAAATAAATCAGTTTTATGTGCTTGTAGAAGGTCTTTAACACGTATTTGGGATATCAACACGAGCGTAACCGCGGGTAAAACCTAGTTTACTATAAATAAGCAAAACATTAAATTTAATTTAAATTTTGTTTTTAGTATTTACTAGTTACTACATTTTTTAAACTTTCTAAAATTTATGAAACTTAATTTGAAGTGAAAGCATGAGTAAGTTGTTACATTTTACAATTAACACCTGCTACGTACAATAATATCGCTTTACGTACTTAGTTCATTGATGTTACACAAGGACAGTTTATTGGAAAGAAAAATAAAAATGAAACTTCGCGAAGATTTAATTCGAATTAGTTCCTGAAATAAGGAAGTTCGAATGAATATCAAATCTCATAAATCTCCCGAACATTAATAATAGTGCTTCTTCTCACTGCCCATTATTATCGATCTCCAAATTTTATACGCAAACTCCATTAAATTCTGAAATCAATGTCGTAGGTAATAACAAATGAATGATTAAATACAAATAATTAACTAGTCAAGTCGGCGATGACCTGGATTAATTATTGTAATTTTAGGATTTATAAAATATTTTCAAAGTTATATTACGTAAAGGGATTTGAATAAAATTAGATAATAATTAAAGAAAAGCATCGAAATTTCATTGAACGTTTGCACTTTCCTAATAAACATCTCATTTTAATTCGTTTTTTTTTTATTTTGTTCAACCATTTCAAAAACCTAATTTTATTTGCTTAGTCAATAAAAAGTGTTCAGGTTTGGCACGACGGCGGGGTTTAATAATCCATAAAATAAACTACGAAATTCTTCCCATGAAAATAAACTACACAATTGTATTACTAACATTAACATGGTCGGACGCTAGGAGTCGTCTTAAAAAATGGGTTTCTTTGTTTTACAAGAATAATTCTATTTATTTTATAAATAATATGACAGTAGGGACGCGAATTCGTTTTCGTCAGGGTAGGTTCCCGGTCCGCGTGAAAAAGATGGCTAATCATTTTTTATTTGCCTATCTACCTACGGGCTACGTACAAACAAACAGACAGAAAACAGACGGACAAACAAATAACAATAAAAAGCAGCTTATAGTACTTCTGATAACCATCTCTTCGTGCCTACAAAAATGGTAAAATCCCATCAAAAGATTGTACAGACTGGCAGATAGACAACTTTTTTTATGAGTCCTTTACACCTTAATAGCAATATTCCAGACAGACACATCAATTATTTTGTATGTATAGATTTTAAGTGATAATTACACACACCTATAATGAATGGGATGATAATAAATAAAATGAGATTCTGTTTTAAAATGACTCAACGAAAAGAAAGAGTTTTAAAAGAGTTGCTGAGGAAGCTATAGACAATGTAGCGAAACGTTCAACGTAATTTCAATCTGTTATTTGATTGTCTAATAATATATGTCCAAATCTTTATGATATAACTTTGCAACCTTACCACAACATGAAGTGAACAGAGTATTATTAGACAGCTCTTACAAAATAATAACAATTACGACATGATCACTAGATGAAATATACTTGATTAATTGAATAAATATAAATAGAATCACTTGGCTTTTGCTTCACAAACCGATTATGAATAAGTGCAAGTTTCTTTGAAAATGGTCAAGCGACCGAAACTTTCGTAAGAACAATTCTCATATCCTTGTAAAACAGAAACCAAGTGTTTTTATTTATTTAATTATTTGTTTTCTAATAAAAATTTTTAGAAAAAAAATTATGGTAATTTTTTACATTAGTTGACATTGGAATTGAGACATGAAGTTTAGTCAGGTAGGTAGTACTGACCAAGTAGAATCGTGTGGTAGCATTAATTCCGTGCGGAAACCAATGTAGCTCGAGATACAGGCTTCTAAAGTTATGTAATCGGAGGAAATTTCGATTGGTACGGCCCTGGCTGCAGCCCTTCGTCAGCTGTTCTCGCCAAATATGCATTGATGACGTCATTGTTTAGTTAGGTAGATGTATGACAGACTCGAGTTTGTTTAATGCCCCTGCCCGCCGAAGGCGGGCTGATACATTAGAATAATGTTAAGAAGATATGTTTTAGGACAAACGATGTTTGGCGGGAACAGCTGACGGAAGGCTGAAGCCAGGGCCGTACCTACCGGTATTTCCTCCGATTAAGAAAACTTTAAGGGCCTGTATCTCACTCACATTCATTTTTAAACAAATAATAAACAAAATTCTAGTAAATACTACTACACTACTTCACTTGGTGAGTACTACCTACCTGACTAAACTTCATGTCTCAATTCCAATGTCAACTAATGTAAAAAATTACCAAAATTATTAATTTCTTTCTGAACAATATTTTATGCAAAAAAAGGTTTTATTGACTAGCATAATTAATCGACTTAAAATATAAATAACTTCATTGGAGGAAATATATTATTTTTAAACAGATATCCACCTAATTAATAATTAAAAGTGTTGCGATTCATATAATTAAATACAATAATTTACTGAACTGTTGTATAAATTGCCTTTTAGTAAAACTTTAAGTTACGCCTCTGGTAGTTAGGCTACATGAATATATCAAGAAAGAGATAGAAGCAGGTGTCCTTGTTGCTCTCGCGGTAATTGCTCCCTCTATCCGGTTTCAATCAGCGCCCAGTTTTCGACCCCACTACCTTGCTCGAAGGCAAGATTGTGTTCACCGCGCAGATGTCGAGGGGGGTTGCCGAAGCAAAATAGCCGCTTTCGCAGACGAAGACAACACCGTTTTAAAATAAATTAATGTAATTCAAGCTTAGATGATACGCTTTGTTGTTCGTATCAATGAAAACATCGGGTTACGTAAATGAACTTTGAATTAGTGATAACGCGAGGCTGATATGAACGTTATTTCGGAGATAATGACCCTAGTGAAGTAAAGCGAATGTTTATGACTACGGGCGTGGCAAAACAGTAAATATTAGTCATATACACAAGTTCGTTAGGTGTCACTATCAAATTTGAAAAACCTGTAGAAGTGGTCAGGTTTGAATTGGAACCGGCAAATACAAACTTAACGGCAAGTGTTCTGTTTGTAGTTATTATTTATTGCTGAACAGAATGTGTGGTTAGAGGACTTGAAAAAATTCTTGTATGCTCATAACGATGATAATTTAGTGCGCGTATGTCTAATTTTTTGTGTTTTTCTACAACAATGAGTGCCAATAATGTTAATGCTCAAGTATCAACAACTCAAACACAAGCAACTGCTACGATAAAGTCACGTCCAAATATTATGCCAAGTAGTTACATGTACACGTCTAGTTCGGGACTATTGAACCGAAGTAACGAAAACAAACCCACTCCTCCCCCAACATTACCAAAATATACATCGAGTTTTAATGCAGGAAGTGGCTTCCGTGATAGAGATAAAGACAGTATTGGAGGTTCCTATCGTCTTTCGAGTTTAGATAGGTTAGGTCTGAGACAGAAATATTTAGATCAAGGACCCACGAATAATTCCACCCCTAATGGAACAATAACACCCACGAACGGTAGTGAATCACAAACAACCACAACAACGCAAAGTAAAAGAGAAATGTTTTTCAATTCCACAAATACAATCGAATCACCTGCTATTCCTCCAGCAACCAAAGACTCCAATCGATTCAATAAAAGCGGACTGGATAAACCTCCCGAACCCCCAGCGAAACCGGTAATATTGGACAATAAGGAAGATTCAAATAAAGAAAAAGAGGTAAAAGAAAAGGACTCAGCTGAAGTAATAAAGGAAAGACCAAAACCTAGAGAATTGGATGGATATGTGGGTTTTGCTAATTTACCTAACCAAGTGTACCGAAAAGCTGTCAAGAAAGGTTTTGAATTTACTTTAATGGTTGTGGGCGAATCTGGCCTTGGAAAATCAACATTAATCAACTCGATGTTCTTGACAGATATTTACCACCCAACCGAATATCCTGGACCTACACAGAGACTTAAAAAGACTGTAGCTGTAGAGACCACAAAAGTACTGCTCAAAGAAAACGGCGTTAATTTAATGCTCACAGTAGTTGATACACCAGGTTTTGGTGATGCTGTAGACAATAGTAACTGTTGGGTTCCCATTATTGAGTACATCGAATCTAAATATGAAGATTACCTCAATTCAGAGGCCAGAGTAACACGAAAACAAATCCCAGACCAAAGAGTTCACTGCTGTTTGTACTTTATACAACCATCAGGACATGGGCTTAAATCATTGGACATTGAGTTTATGAAACGCTTATGTGATAAAGTTAATATAATTCCTATAATTTCTAAAGCAGATACACTAACATCAGACGAATGTAATTTGTTCAAGAAACAAATCATGAATGAAATTGCTCAAAACAAAATCAAAGTTTATGAGTTTCCAGAAACTTCAGAAGAAGATGAGGAGCACAAAATTAATAAATCATTGAGAGATAGAGTCCCCTTTGCAGTGGTGGGCTCTAATGCAGTAATTGAAATTGATGGTAAAAAATTGAGAGGCCGCAGGTATCCATGGGGAATAGCAGAGGTGGAAAATCTTGAACACTGTGATTTTATAGCCCTTAGAAATATGGTAATACGCACACATCTTCAAGACTTGAAGGACGTTACAAACAACGTTCATTATGAAAATTATCGATGCCGCAAATTGGCTGGACTTGGGGTTGATGGGAAAATGTCCAAAATCTCAAACAAGAATCCATTAGCCCAAATGGACGAAGAGAAACACAATCATGATCTCAAAATGAAGCAGATGGAAGCCGAAATGGAACAGGTCTTTGAGATGAAAGTGCGCGAAAAGGTTCAAAAACTAAAAGACAGCGAGGCTGAATTGACCAGAAGACATGCAGCAACAAAGAAGAGTTTGGAACAGCAAGCAAAAGAATTAGAAGACAAAAGGAAGCAGTTTGAAATGGAGAAGCAACAGTGGGAACAAGAAAACCAGATAACCATTGAAGAATTGCGAAGGAGATCTTTGGAAGGTAGCAGAGAGACCATGGATGGAAAGAAAGACAAAAAGAAAAAAGGGTTATTTTAATTATAAATTGATATTCTTGAAAACTACAGATGTAGGTAGAAGTCAGGAAATGTCGAATAAACATTATTTTTAAGGATGATTGAGGCATGTGTGTAAATTTATATAGCTACTGCATTCCTAAGTATTAAGACCAAACAATAGTGTCATTCCTGCTACAAAGTACTAATATGTAATTTTATATTGCTTAGGAGAATGATTTTCATTTAATGTGTCCCTTTAAAAGGATATAAGTAAAAGAACAAAAATAGCTATTCAGTTTAACATCAATGTTGTAAAAGATTTCTATTTGTGTGAACTTTTAGCTTGCAACAATTATTTTAATTGTGAAATTAATATGTATGTTTTTATAATGTATTTTAAAGAGCCAATTAAAATTAACTATTCATGTTTTATTTATTAAGTACATTGTTAGTGAGAGAACGGAACTGGACTTTTCATTTTGATAAGATCTGTATTATTAAGTATATTTTCAAAAAAAAAACTATTTTGGGCACAATTGTTTTGCTATGTTTACTGCCGATTGGCGAGAAAAATAACGTTTTTCGAATTACTTGCCTCTAGCATTTGACTGCTACAATTTAGAGTACGTAAAATTAATTATTTATGAATGAAATTGTTTGATTAGTGTAAATCTATTAAATGACATTTTGCATTTAGCAATGTGCCATTTATTTTCTATTTTAAACTTTTAAATGTAGTGGAACTTGTAAAAAAAACGTAAATAAACATTTTTATTTCACAAGTCTTTTGTATCATTGTTTTTTGTTTCATGTATATTCAAAATTTTAAAAAAATTATATTTAAACGGAAATGGTTATTTGTTTCTTATCACCTTGTGTAGAGTAAAAAGTGATAAATTTGTAGCACATGGTCTAAAAACCGTATCACCCTCATTTCCGGATTTTATAAATATCAGTGATATTTTCGCACGTTTGTAAACTATTAATGTCATTTTTTTAACAGCTCATTAAATACAAACTTAATTAAAACGTCAAAAAGCGAACGTTGGCAAAGAAAGAAAAGTATAACGTAATATCTAACATGGTATAATCATGCATGATAATCATGTCTTAAATTATGCCACACCTTTGCTATTGTTTATTTATGTGGGTTGATTATGAACAAAACATTGTGATGGGTAATTACAGCAGTTATCTTCAATTATGGGTTTTAAAACGTACTGCGAGCAGAAGAGCTTTTACTGACCAACTTGTTTTAGTAAAATTTAATCTCTTTAATTAACATAAAGCATGGAATTTAGTTAAGTAAAAAGATAAATAAAATTTCTACCTTCTAATTTTAACATTACATTAACTCAAAAAAGAGACATCCCTGTTCACAACACATTTCACTGAGCAGATACCTATGTATTTTTTCCATTGCTTAGGTGGACATTACCATTACAGGTCAAAATTTTAATGTTACTTGGACGAGAGTATAAAAATAATGCTTTAAAGTATCTAACCAATTGATTTTGTTAAGTAATGTAAAGTGCTGGATCTGAGAATTTCTTTGATGCTTTTTCGTAAAGTACACATGGTACATTTATATTTGACAAAGATAAAGACCGAGATAATACGCAGGTAAATTCCCTGTTCTGATAAGTAACCCCCAGTAAACTTCTAAAGTAATTGCAAATAAGAAGTTTAACCGTAAATAAAATAAGTATATTTGTACTGTAATTGCTTTTAAAAGTTATTTTAGTTATTAATAAACAAATGTTGCTCAACAGTGAATTATTTGTTAAATAAAAAACTATGTTTAAAATAAAAAAAGTATGTAATTGTAAAATGATTTTCTCAAATTTCATCTAAGAATTTTCCAAATAAAAATAAGTTTAATGATGATCAAAATAATTTTAAAATTATCGTTTTGTTTTTATGTGGTTTCCCTAGCCTAATAAGTTATAAAAGAAAAATTTCAAATTTTTCGATAAATTTTTCTTTTTTTGAAAAAATCCACATTTCGCTATCACTTTTTAATGGATGATAGCAAATGCAATCTACCATCGAAATATCGTTAAGATAAGGATTATTAAAAAGTCAGTTTATATATTAATAATAGTTTGTTGCAGGGTTCCTATCAAAATAAACAAAATACAAATTCCTACCTTTCGGACGTAAGATGCTTGGTGATGGTATTTTGCAGGCATGAACAATAATCTGCATCTTTCAAAGAACTGGATGCCAGTAGTAGAAGCTATACCCATGTAGAGGAAAACACCAAATAACACGGCCATTGGAACAAGCCTAAAAGAAGAGAAAATACCAAAATTACATTAGATCAACTTATTTGGAATTGGTCTAACAATTTTATTTTAGAACTAAAGTTATTTTTTCTTAAAGTTTGGATACACCCATAATTCTTTTGTGTAATTTTTTTATCTTATCAGTCGAGTTCTGGTTTTTGAAAAAGCACAATATAATTCTTAAAATATTTTTAAAAAATTGCTCTATTGATAGAATAGTGCCCAAAAGTATTTAAAATTGAAGTAGTGATTTCAGAAATATTTACCTCAAAAGAGGTGCCATTAGAACCGATAATCCAATGAGAAGTCCAACAGCGAAGGCAGAAACCCTTTGTTCTTTGACTTCAATAATGTAGGGCTTTTCACCTGGTGCGTGTGTACGTGACATGACAGTAACGGCGGCCACGTGCGCTATGGAGCGGACCGTTGCAGCGCACATAAAAGGGGCACCCAGCAAGCCACATAAGATGTTTATAAGACAAATGAGCACAATATCCAAGTGAAGACCGCTACCCTTCTTTAGTTTCCTTTCAGGTTTTGCAATAATTAATCTGAAATAAAACAAGTTATGAGTTTTTGTTTTCATAAATATTTTTAACTGTAGTTGTAATTCTAAACTTTCTAATACAATTCTACAATAAATAACAGAATAAAGTATGTGGAAATGACAATAATAAAATGCATTTATTATAAATTTTTGATTTCACCTCACAATTTTAAAATAAAGTTGTTTTGATTTCTGTTACCGAGATAAAGGATTCATTTTTTATTACAGTTAGATATTATTCATATGTTAACTTAACGTATAAATAATTAACTTAACAAGAAACTATTATCTATCTAAAATAAAAAAAACTATTTTTTTTATCAATCTAAAGAGAATAAAAATAAAAATCAAAGATAAGCAATTTTGAAATACTTACTCGCAAATGTGGGTTTCCATGAACAGCAAAATATAAACGAGCATGGCGGGAATACCAGCGGCGAAGACAATCCAAAATGGAAAGCCATTTTGTCCTGCAGGATTTATTATCCACCCTCTGATCTCTGGATTTGAAGGAGTTAACCCTTCTGGCAATGATAGTTTGTCTGTATATGTTTGAGGGACCAGGTAATCCAAAAATACCATAATAACTATTGCTATTGGAACGCCGAAGTCTCCCAGGGCTCTTCTTGCCTAAAAATAAAATTACAACATTAGGTAGATTCTGTATTATCGAAACCTCCTTTTGAATATAACAGGAAGGGGTGAAAATTGTACTCGCTGCACCTTATCAGAAACGTAAAAACAAAAAAAATAACAGTGCAGAGTTGAGTCTCGTTAAATAAAAAAATCACATGCTTGCGATCAGTGAATTAAAGATTTTGAAAAAAATTGCTAAAAGTGAACATGTATCTACTTTTTAAGACATGAAAAAGTGAACTATGTAATAGTTACTTACACTTCTTCCTAAAAATTTTCCATTCCTAAACTTGAGCAAGTAGTAAGCAATGATAAATGTCCCGAGGGTAAGTACGAGACAGAAAAGGGCGGTGTTTGGCTGGTTTATTGGACCCTTGGCATCGTACGAAGGCAGAAGCCAGGTCGGATTAGTCAAGCATTGCTGATTATCGTCGCTGGATGTATTGAGAGTAACATTTTGTTTGTCAAAAGGCACCAAAGAGCTGTTACCATCTTCACCGGCAGCCAAGAAACCTAGATGACAATAATCCGCCAAAAGGGGATTCCTTTGGAACACGTTTATTAATTTCATTATACTTTCCATTACAAAGAACAATGATATTAAGGCAGCAAAAATTTCTTGGGTAAACCTGGTGAATTGACGCACAAAAACGCTTCCCTCGAGACAAGCCACAAAGAGACCTATTATACCCAGCCATAGACCTATGTATACTCGGATGGTAAGGTATTCTATACCGTTAGAATCACAAAATTTAAATAGTGCCTCTTCAAAAAGTAGCAAGGGTCCTGTTGTCCCTACTATGACGAGTGGTTGTCCTCCTAAAAGAGCAAAAAGTGCTCCTCCTAAAGCCGTTGCGACCAGGGTTTCAGAAGTTCCAATGGAATTACGCGTTTTGTCACTCAGGAGACCTCCGAAGGCTATGGCACCTGACAGGGCCGCGAAATAAATAAAAATTGAAGCTGCTGCACATTGAGCATTCAAACCCTGCCAACAATCACTCTTATAAAACGGATATCTTCGTTTTATGTCTCTTATTAATCCTCCAAAAGGTCTATGGGTTCGTTCCAAAGGATCGTCGAAAGGCGGCTTCTTTTCTCCAGCGCCGTCCGAAAGTAATAAAACTTTTGTATCCTCTGCAGTTGAGATTTTCTTTAAAGCACTCTGTTTTCTCCTCTTAATCTGTTCGCTTTTAGCTTTGATTTCTTCGATGGGAAGTAAAGCTCGTCTTTCCCAGTCTCCAGGTGGTAGAACAATACTGTCGTCCAGGAATTCGTTTATGGCTGATAAAAGTGCTTTCCTGTTATTAGCTTCAAAGGCAATGTCGTGGAATTGCTGATTGGCCATAAGTGTAGCTATGGATCTACCGATTTCATGGTAGTCCAGGTTGAAATTCTTGGTACCAAGCAGGATGAACATGAAACGGATGGGAATGTTGACTTCTAGGAACGACGGAATAATTATACCTTCTGCCAAACGTACGAAAGCTATGGCGGGTTGTTCGAGGAAATCCACCTCTCCCACCAACACACTGGTTGCTTGAGCGTCGATAGGGATTTTGCGGATAATTGAAGTGGATGTTTTTCGTGAAACATCTTCATTACTTGTACTGTAAGTTTCTTCTTTAATGTCAACAGTAGTATATTTTTCGTTTGGTATCCCCAGATGACCATCGGCGGTAATGGTTCCACCATTTCCTTTGATGCCGTGATGGATATCAGAAGAAACGCTTGCCTTACGCTTTTCATTGTCATGGTGCAAATTCTGAAACAGACATATTTATATTTTTATTTCTTTAGGCAATAAATAAAATTAATTATGATGCATGAAAAAGTAGCGTACAGGTGTAAGGAGTTGGAGTGCAATGGTAGTTAGAGATTTTATACTACAAGTTTTCATGCTATTGTTGTGGAAATAAAATGAAATGGAAATAAAAGCTCTACATAAGAAAGATAGCGAATACTGCAATTGTAAAGCTCATAATTATTTTCGAAACTGTTTCTAATTAAACTGTTCAGCAAATACGAGTCGATAGAATCCAATAGTACCACCACTTGACTAGACTGAAACTCGGCAGCTCGTTAATGAGCCAGCCAAATGAAAAGCGGTAGCATGCTTTTGTTTCCGTCGTAAAAACGCGGTGAAAACTAATAAAATGGGTAAATTATTTCCTACCTCGAGGGTAAGCCACGGCAAGCAAATAACCAATCTACACTAATGCAACGATAGTACAATAGGAAAAAACAAATGGAAAACCAAAGGTGGTATCAGTGGAGAACAACGAATCAACAGTAGCAACAGTAACAACAAAAACAAATACAACAACAACAACACAGTTGGCCATATGAACAAACATTACACTGAAATAAAATGGCCCACGGGATGGCTGCATGTGCAGGGGGCACAGCAGTCCCTGGGTCGCGCAGGTGGTGCAACGGGCCATGGTGACGGCCTCGCATATGACGGCGCTCTCCAGCCATAACGACTGCAACCATTAAATGAAATTATTACCTTTCATTAAATTTTCGTATAAAAGGAATAATAAACAAGAAATAATAGTTTTGATAAATACAATGTTAATAAAATAATTTGTAATTTTCAAATTATCCACGCTGGGTATATTACATAAATACATTTGTTGTATTAAAGAATAAAAACAGTGACAATTACTGACTAATTCTGAAAGAAAATACGTTTAATAAATATGTAAACATAAAATACAAAACCCAGTAGACGAAAAATATTTTATCAGTTAAGTCTTTCTTGTAGTTTATTTCCCTATTAATTAAATTTTCATTAAACGCCTATTGAAATAACCATCGTTTACCTGTTGTTTATTTTTTTAACCAAAAAAAGTTGCTTTTTTAGTTTACAATATGTTTTTGGAAAATTTGTTGTCCTACATATATCTGTACTTCGTAAAATTTATTAATCATTAGTTGAACAACTGCTAATATATATATGATAAATATAACGAGAGGATTTTATAGTGGATTAAAACGAATTAATAAAGAACTAATTGCAATATTATGTTGTAATTTTACTATCGTTTGTTTAATTTATCTAATGCGATTGCTTTTACTCATTTGTGCATTTTTACCCAAGATCCAGCATTTACAATAAGTGCATTTATCAGTCAGTTTTATTTATAATAACGAGTTTAGTAACATTGGGGTTTCATTATATTAGTATATTTTTAATCCACTTTCAGGATCATATGGAAGAATCATTATTTGAAGTTGCTTGCGTCAGAGCATAATAGTATTAACCCTTCGGTGAAGCAGATTTAAAACTGTACAGGTAATTTATCGATAACATTATGTAAACACTTTTTTTAAGTCATTTATCATTATATTTCAATGAACAAACTTTATTTCGGAATTAAGAAACGAGATACACAGTGGTGGAACTAGATTCAACTTTTAATGAAGAAAAGGCTTATCTTTAATTAATACAGTTTTGCAGATTATAATACGTATGTATTATAATCGTTATTTGTACCATCAACCAACCAATCAAATTAAATGAATAAGTAAATAAAAATCTGCTTAGTAAATATGTTAAAAGAGTGAATTACTACAAACAGTGTGGTAAACGCTATCTGTAGTATATTGTAGCAAAGTCCTTAAGGATATCGACTTGTCGAAGTACCGCGCCTACCTTTGGATTTTTTGTGCATTTCTGAAAGTGCAGTAACATATTACAGATGGCGTTTATACTCTGTTTGTAGTAATTCATAAAATGCTGTGTTAAGGCAGCAGGTAGAGTGGGGGTCCAAGGGGATCAAGATCGCCATCCGGGCCGAACTGTTTCGACAAAATATCGATCCCCATGAACGAAGTACTACGTTGAAAGTTTTGATCCTGGGGGGTGTACAAATCAATCGAAGTATAAATATACTATAATTAAAAATCAGAATGAAAAGTGAAGTTTTAAAAGAAAACACCGAACAAGTGAAATTTCGACTGGCGCGCCGAGGGTTTCCGTTTCGTTAATTTAGAAAATCGAAATGGATTGTTAAGAGTTTCACGGATGATATGGGGGTGCGGTAGGAGGATGGTGAAATGAGGAAATTAGGAAGGAATAGTAAATGGCAAACCTTGACTCAGGATACGAAGTGCATGCCCAACCAGTATTCGGACTTTTTTAAACGGGGAAACCTACCTTGAAAAAGTAATCTGTAGCAAAGTAATACTATAGACTTAAGGTGTTATCAACAGGGATAAATGTATCATTGGCATTTAACGTCTTTACGAGTATCATAAAAAATGGATTAGTCGATAAGTAACTTGCTCTCCATTATCTAAAGATGTGGAGATTAACTTACGCTTTTTTTCTCTGTACACGAACTCAGCAAATATAAATCAATCATTTTTTTTGCGCGATTAAAAAATATTCGCTGAGTACTTAAGGAAGCCCTCTTATCGTAGCGGAGAAAAGTTTCCAAGGTTAAGTATTTAGGAAAGAACTGAGAAAAAATTTTGCTTTCTAGTACAAGCATATTTTTTAAAAATGTGAAGTGTGACGAGACTCATACCTACTAATAGGATAGCCGTGATGTTAATAAAACATAGTACTTGGTGCAAAGATCAACAACTAATTTATGTTTATTAATCTTTTACTAATTCCTTTTTGAATGCTTATATTTGCATCTCTTATGACAGCAAAGATCAACAACTAATTTATGTTTATTAATCTTTTACTAATTCCTTTTTGAATGCTTATATTTGCATCTCTTATGATTTTAAAAAGAAAAAATTAATTTATTGCTTTTGTTTTATAGTTAGTTTTTACATTCACTCTTATCATGGGAATCTCTATCACTGTCACCAACATCAACAATTAGTTCTTCTGTTTGTCTGTCTATTACTTGCTCACTGATCCCTATTTTTAAATATTTAATCTACGCCCCTGATAGGAATACTGAAGAATGAGGGCTG